TATTAACCAAATTTAATGCAACAATAACCAAACATCATAATAAATTAGGGCCTGTAGCCTAATTCAACTCTTAGACAGAGAATTTTGATTTTTCTAATTTATTGATAATAAAAAAAAAATTTAAAAATATCACAATAATTTATAATCAATATATGATGACCAAAAAAATTCTATTATATTGCGGCATGATCCTAAGTAAACAAACCAATTCTTGGTTTAGAGTAATCATAGCTAAATGTTGAAGACTTTGGACATTCATTTAGAGCACTTGACCTTCTCTTCTTTCCCACATGTGACCTCCCAAAGTTCTCAAATACATTGCATCTTTCATTGGCTATATATGTTAAATGTATGGTTTTATCATGCATTTTAAATTATATTTTCACATCATTGTTATTAAAGAGGAATATCTTCCGAAGATCTCTCCAACTACCCAGATTCTAATATTTTTCTTTAAAAACGCATATATTATGTAATATTGAGAAATAGCATTGGTAACTAAATGGAATTTTTCTTTTCTTTAAAACCAATCCGGAGCCGACACCTCACTGGGGTCGACCCCCAGTAGGGGTATGAAGCTTTTCTGATATGTTAAATGTATGGTTTTATCATGCATTTTAAATTATATTTTCACATCATTGTTATTAAAGAGGAAGATCTTCCGAAGATCTCTCCAACTACCCAGATTCTAATATTTTTCTTTAAAAACGCATATATTATGTAATATTGAGAAATAGCATTGGTAACTAAATGGAATTTTTCTTTTCTTTAAAAAAAATTCTGATAAAGATTGAAATAGATGTTTTGCATATCAAATATAGTGTAATGAAACCCAATTCGTCAAGTATAAACTCTCAAGTACATATACAATATTAAGATTCAACATATATTATTTAAAATTTATATTTATAAATATGTAAGTGAAAAGTCTATTCAATATATATTATTACCGATTCTATTTTTCTTTATTTGGTGTAAGACTTTACATTTGTACATATTTATAATAAATTGAACTTTTCTCATTTCTACAAAACAACCTACTCATACTTTGAGCCATCAGGCTAGCCCAATGGTAATAGCAACGTTTCGATCCTTGCTTTGTAGAAAATTGGCAATTCGAAAGCCCCTTTTTAATCTAAACATGTTATTGGGATTCATAATTAGTTAGGACACATAATTTAATCTCATAATTAACAAAAGAAAAAAGAAATTTGAACCCTAGCATCAAGATTGAAAGACCAATTAACACCAAGCTCTTTGAATCACTTGGGAGAATTGCAGGATCATTAACTACACTGATTTTTTTTCCTCTCTCTCTCTCTCTCTTCATTACCTATGTAAAGAATATATGCGATTAATTCCCTAGCTTTAAGGGGTGGGAACTGAAGATGCTTTGCCAGCACATGGACATTTTCTACTTTACATGATTGAAGGACCATATAATAAGTAGAACGAAGTGGAAAACTATTATGACCAATGGTTCTATGAACTTTCCATCACTTTGCACCACATACTCAGACAAAGAGTGAACAAGCCAAGCCAACCAATATTAACTATATATCAAAGTTGGACAAAGACAACAGAAAATGTAAATAGTTGGTGAGGTTGAAAATTATTAAATATTTCAATGTTGCCACTTGACATTGTTGCTATAGATATTCCAAGAGATAGTCTGTCATTATATCCATACCTTAATGTTTTTCTCACCTAAAGCAACTTAAATTAGTCAAAGATTTACAATGGAAGAACTGTAGTCCAAAAGAAAGAAATTTTAGGTATAGTAATCACATGCATGTTTTACCTTAGGGTACAACACCTATCATTCATTTTTACATTTACAAAGTCCAAAATGATTATCTAAAAAAATTAATACAAAAATATAGTCTGCGAGTCAAATTCATGTCAATTTTAATTAAAACATCATTTCAATCTAGGGTAAAATTCGCATATGATTCTTAAAATATGCGTTCTATGTAATTTTGGTTCTCCAAATTTCAATTTTCTAAATTTTGTGTCTAAAATTTTTAATGTGAGCCAAATTAGTTTAATTACAAATGATCATCTGAATTGTTAACACAATAATAATAAAATTCATCTATAGTTCCTAAATTTGTCATATTTTAGGGGACCTATTATATCATTTTAATCTATTGACAAATTTGATGGAAGTCTCACTTAATTTGGTCAAATGACTTCTTTAACTATGCCTACGAGAAGACACCGCAGTTGATGCCTAATATTACGGCTTTTTTGTTGTTAAAAAAGGGACCAACAAAAAGGCACTTTTTTCTGAAAGAATTAGTCTAACAAAATCATTTTATTTTTTCTCAAAATATATATTAACATTAAGATAAAGATTTTTTTTTTTTTTTTTTTTTTTTTTTTTTTTTTAATGATCAATAACCCATCCTAAGGAGAGCCCTTTAAACTCACCTCAGAAAGATAAACTCGAACTTCATAAGTCAACTCTTAAACTTATGAAGTGAACAAACGAAAAAGAATTGAACCCTTATTAATGTAAGCAACATACCTACCTAGCAACATACCCACTTACCCAGTTACGAATTGAAGCTTTATTATTTCTAATGAGTTTATTAGTTGGTTTTCTAAGTTCAAAAACAATTAGTGATATTTTCTTATAATTTTATTCACAACTCTCTTGTACATTATGGGGTTCACCAATGCATATTGTAATCATAATAAAGCTATTTCCAAAATAGATATGTTAGAGATTCTAAATTTTTTATCAAAATTTTTACCAAATACTCACATACCATATGAGTGTTTGGTAGAAAATTTTGTATCCCTATTTATTGCTCTTTATGAAATAGGGACAGAAGTGACTAAGCAATCATACATATATATATATATATATATTTGTTTGATTAGAAATCTCTATTTATAAAATAATTAACTAGTTTTTTTTTAGATGGTAATAACAAGAAAAAATAATTGTAATAATTAAAAAGTTTGCTAGTAATATTCAGTGTGATTGAAATGTCAACTAACTTAACCGATAAAGCATGATAATGGTAATATATAATGGCGTGCGTTGAGGAATGTTTTTAGATTTTTATTAATGCTACAAATAATTTATTTGGATGGATTTTATATGTAATTATTAATGTGAGTTTAATTATCTTATGTTTAAAAGTGAGAAAATTACTTAATAAATTAATTAACTAGTATGCTCAAGAAAGATTATAGTAATTTACCCAATAAATTAAATTTTTTTGGCGACTAAATTTTTTTTAGCCGCCAATTTTAATCGCTAAAGGTGTATTTTGTTGTAATTATAATTAACTAATACGTGCCTCTATAATTGTAAAGTGGTTACCCTAATAACATGCATAAATTAATTTTCAAGTCCTAACATCATTACTAGCTAGGTTAGTTACACATGTTTTTTTTTTTTTTGTGTTACATACACATGATCTTATTCTCTCCTGATTTGTTTATTTATTTTTTAAGAACCCATTTGCCTATTTTTATAGAATAAAAAAAACATTTATATATAATTTAGAGTTGCATCAAATATCTATCTCAGCATCATAAACTTGTCGTATTGAAGAGATGTGGCAGATTGTGTATGGGAGAGAGAGGAAACTTGTTTTTAAATAAATGTTCGATTTGTGATCCCAATGGACTTGACCAAACTTGTGTAGGCGGTGGCACAAAATACATAGGAAGGTTTAGTTAGGTTTAATAACATTTTTTAAAGTATAATGTATAAATTGGAGCAAAGAAAAAGAAGCATCATAGTAATCGATTGAAAAGTTCACAATCATGGACATGGAATTATGCCAACATGCATGCCATTCTCCACTGTATATATGATATTATTTTTATAGAATATTTATACAAAAAAAAAATTTACCAGAATAATATTATTCACGTGTTGTTGCTAACTAATGACGTAGTAAAAAATTTATGACTGGGATAATGTTGACCTACTTTTACTAGGTAATAGAAGAATAATTAATAATGACGGTAAAGAGCCCTTACCATGCACATCAAGCTATTTTGATACTTGGGTGGGCTCATCCCAAGTCTACTTTGATGATTCAAACAATTCATCTTATAGAACCTAACATGTTGAGTATATTATCTACAAAAAAAATTAAATTATTTGGGCATTCATAGTCACACGACCAAGATGACATTTATTTATTTTTAAATGAGCATGTATGATTTTGATAACAATCCATCTATTTCTTTTGAAACAATTAGGACCAAATACTGTAATTTTTGATATCTAATCAATTTAGTTTTTTACATGCGTGTTTTTATTGTTGAGTTTTATAAGATGAACAGTTTGAATTATCAAAATAAATCAAAACCCACTTAGCCCTCATAATAGCCTGATGTGCTAGCAGAACCCCTTTCTTAATGATTTTACTAATTAGACAATATTATTTATTTTTATTAAATAATTATGAGGTAAATAATGGCTTGCCTAATTTATTTTGAAAAAATGTTTGGGAGCACTAATTAGTGCTCCCACTAATTAGGTGGCAGTGGGTCCCGCCATTAATGATGTGATGTTTTGGTCTTGGAGTTGTATTTTTTTTTTTTTTTACTTTTTTAATGTATTAGTGCTATTAGTGGTGATGTTTTTAGTGGGATGAATCATTGTTTTTATTTTGTCATTTCTTTGATAAATTGTCAGGTAATATTTTGTGACTACAACTAACTGATAATTTTTTGTGCCTTTTGTATTTGTTCATTTATCGAAAGCACTAAATAAATATCTACTCTCTGTTTCAAAATTATCCTTTTGATAATATATTTTTTAAAAATATCAATGTTATAATTATACTTTTTATATTGTTTATTAATTTAAAAGAATGACAAAATAAGAAATTTATATTATTTTTGTACTTGATTTTTGAAAATAGACTAATTTTTTGAGATAATAAAAAATAGAATAAGGGATTAATATTTTAAGACAGACGGAGTAATAACTTTGCATGCATATATATATATATATATATACGCAAACAAGAAACCTTATATATCCATCTTCATCCCCAACTTTAGCTTCTCTCAAACTGTTTCCACCCACAAGACTTTGAGACCAAACCAAAGTCACAAAATGCAGAAGCTGTATTGCCATCTCCTTCTTCTTTCTCTCTCATCTCTCTCACATCTCACTCTGGCCCATCCATGGCCATGGACCCAAACCCAGCGGCAATTCAACCAACCCACAAACTACGAAGGCTCATCCAACCTAGTCGACCTCCAATACCACATGGGTCCAATCCTTTCTTCTCCCATCAACCTCTACATTGTCTGGTACGGCAGCCATTGGAACCCAAATCACCAATCCACCATCAGAGACTTCCTCTATTCCCTCTCCTCCCCCGCTCCTCCTCCCTCCGTCGCCGACTGGTGGCGCACAATCCGCCTCTACACCGACCAAACAGGCTCCAACATCACCGGCAACATCATCCTCTCCGGCGAGTTCTACGACTCCACCAACTCCCACGGCAACTACCTCACTCGATTAACCATCCAATCCATCATCAAAACCGCCGTAACTTCATACCCGCGAGGCCTACCTCTGAACTACGAAAACGGCCTCTACTTAGTCCTCACTTCTTCAGAAATTCTCGTTCAGGACTTTTGTCGAGCTGTTTGTGGGTTCCATTATTTCTCCTTCCCAGCCATTGTGGGTGTCACAGTACCATACGCTTGGGTTGGTTACAGTGGCACGCAGTGTCCAGGCATGTGCGCATACCCATTTGCGTGGCCGAAGGATTCCGGCAAGCCGCCGCCGGAGACCAGCGGCGGAGTAATGGGTTCTCCGAATGGGGATGCGGGTGTGGATGGGATGATCAGTGTGATTGCACATGAGCTTGCGGAGGTGTCGAGCAATCCGCTGGTGAATGCGTGGTACGCCGGAGATGATCCGACGGCGCCGGACGAGATAGCTGATATATGTGTGGGGGTGTATGGGTCTGGTGGTGGTGGTGGATATGTTGGTCAAGTGTATAAGGATTCTTGGGGTAATGGGTTCAATGTCAATGGGGTGAGAGGGAGGAAGTTTCTTGTGCAGTGGGTATGGGACCCTGTCAAGGGTAGGTGTTTCGGACCCAATGCCATGGACTAGCAGCCATGTCGCTGAGAATTTTCTGTCTCACTCTTTTCGATTTTTCTGTTGTAGATATTTTGTTTATTATAAGATTTATCTCTGAGTGTTATTTTGTGATAGAAATGATATTCTCTCTTTTCCAAGTATCTTTTTTATCATAGAATACGAGCGTTAGATTTTATAATAGAGAATATATTTATGATAGTGAAATTGGAAAGACATATAGTGTGGAATTGGTCTTTCAAGTCTGTTTTCTATCACAAAATGAGACTTAGAGACATAGATCTTATGATAAAGCATTGGTAGAAAAGAGATTTTAAGTTGAAGAGAGTGAAATAGAAGATCCAGTTTTGAATTCATGCCCTGCCTTATAGATGTAATGTAAGATAATAATAGTTTCATATGATTTGAGGCACTATCTCATGCCATAGATATCAGAGGAAGCCAAAGTTGGGGGGACCAAGAGACATAGGAATCAAAGAGTCGGTCAGGGCAATGAGGCCACGTTTCTGCTTTATTTACTTGTATGCACATACTGTGCTTTTCCAGGGAAAGTTGATGCTTTGCTTGTAGTTTTCATTACTAAATTTCATTTGCATTGCATTTGGTACAGAGGCCTCTCGAAAGACTATTTTACACATGCTTGATTGAAGTTTGGTAAGCAATAAATGACCAGTATTAACTAACACCACTGCAAATAGTAAAGAGAGTTTGTGGGCAGGTTAGGACCCCTCTTTATATTAGGTATGAGCTAACTGTATTGACTTCGGGCGGGGGTAGGAAAGTGATTTTGTCACGTTAAATATCTAATTGATCTAATTTTTTTTTAAATAAATAATCTACTCAATAAATTTAAATAAATAATTCGAATTATCCAAATAAACTCTCATGCCCTCACGTCAAGACCCCCCTCTCGCTTTTTTTTCTTTTTTCTTGAACATTATCTGATATGGAAAGGAAGGAAAGAGAAATTGCATCGTGTGACGGTTAAATGTGAACTTTGACATTGTGCCTAATAAAAAAACATCTCATCCACCAACTCAACTCTCAGTCTGAGGGCGGTGTTTGAGAAGGTTTTTTTTTATTTTTTTTTATTAAAAGACAAATTGATTACAAAATTAAAAAAAAAATATCACATCAAATCCCATAATCATTTCACTTTTTCTCCCACAATCATCACATCCAACCACAAAAAAATCCAACTATCTTCTCAAATACAAAAAAAAAAATTCTCTAATAATATCCTACAACTAAAAAAACCTAAAAAAAAAACTCACTTTCCAAACACCCACTCATTTTATTTGAAGGAGTTCAAATCACAAACGAGTTTAAAATGCCACTACTCTTGCAAAATCCATAACACTACATGATACTACAGGGTCCATCAACTCACCGATCGACATCAAACTGAACACAGTTCTTTCTAAAAAGGGCAGAGCATAGATCGTATGCTGGCACCCAACCTCAAAACTGTAACATATAGATGCTGCCACCCAACCTCAAAAGTTTAACATACAGAAATAGATGACAAGTAGACCGTAAACAAAGCACAGAGAGAAACCATATGGCACCACCCATCAAGAAAGAGGAACTGCAAAAAATCTAAGTTCAAATCCTGAAAAATTCTTACATTCAGAACTCATACATACACTTTGTGGGTGTCACAGTACCATACGCTTTCCCAATATAACAATTTTTTCTTGTGTGTGAGAGAGAGAGAGAGAGAGAGAGAGAGAGAGCATAACCTCTCTGTTGCCATACATTTGATATTCTTAATGTTCTGTTCAGATGTAATCCACAAAAACCAAGTTCTAAGGGGTGGTTTGGATCAAATAATAGAAACAAAGGCACCCCTCCCACAACTTAAAGATAATTAGATTTTTTCAACTTATTTAAGCTATTTTTACCTCATAAGCAAGAAGTAGAAGCCGCACCAAACACTCTAATACAAATTCCCAAAATGACAAACTCTATTAGCAGCTCAATATACTGCACCAAACAGGACCTTGACAATGATACAAAGACAAACTGTACAACTTCATCAATAGACCTGCTCGATCTCCGTCGCTCCAATGTTTGAGCTTGAGATTTCTGAAGGACTGGGAGAAAAGAATATATAATACTGCCACCAAAACTGATTATACTTTTAAAAGCAGTTTGTAGAGAAAACTGAGGTTCTGAGGAAATTACAACACATCAGTACAATGGATACAGCGGTAGTTCATAAGCCTGGCTACAAGGCTTTCAGGATCTGGAATTAGAGCAGATGTTAAGCTGTTCCAAAAATGAAATGTGAATGATTCATTCAATATCTTTTCAAACAGCTCATCTTGTTGGGTTCTTCCAGTCTCCGTTGTAGGTGCAGCAAAGTACCTGTTTCAACTCGAACATATTAAGCAAGAGAAGTGAAGTTGCACCAAGAAGAGAAGAAGAAAACAAGAATATGAAAACTGAAACCAATCCCAAAAATAATATCTCAATAATCAGTATTTATCAAAGTTGTGTCTTCTAATAAGGAAACAAATTCCTAATAAAACTCAATAAATATAAAATAACGTCAAAATAAATCATTAAATCACTAATTTTAAATTTCTCTTAATCCAACACCTTTTCGTTCCCCATCAAGGAACATGAAACTCACATTAACCAAAGTGGGGAACTTGTTGGTCAAAGTTTTGAAGGGTGAAACACAAAGATGGTTATAGGACGAAAAGGAAAGCAATATAAACTGGACAATGATGCATCTATGCAAATTTACAAGAACCTATAGTGGATTTAAAAAAATTTAAGTCCAACTGTAATACAAACTAGGCACCAAATCCACATCATAGATTACTTTTTCTGTCCACTAAATATCTGCCTATTCAGAGTGCTGTTTTTTTTTTTTTTTTTTTTTTTTTTTTTTTTTAACGTCCTTTAATTTTTTTATTTCTTTGTCCCGGTGCAACCAAATGGCTGGACCTCTAAGTGCCAATAAATTGGTGCATAGTATTAGGTAGGGAGGTCAGGATACAAATAATTTGTTGGCAATTACTATTAATTTCAGTTTTGCAGCAACTTTGGTTGTTCATATCATTTAGATTATTGCCTAATTATAATCACCAATGAATGTGGATAGCCGCAACCAAATGGCTGGACCTCCAAGTGCCAATAAATTGGTGCATAGTATTAGGTAGGGAGGTCAGGATACAAATAATTTGTTGGCAAAGTGCCAATAAATTGGTGCATAGTATTAGGTAGGGAGGTCAGGATACAAATAATTTGTTGGCAATTACTATTAATTTCAGTTTTGCAGCAACTTTGGTTGTTCATATCATTTAGATTATTGCCTAATTATAATCACCAATGAATGTGGATAGCCTAGATATAATGACACCTAATGTGTATGCCAAGGATAATGAATAACTGACATTTATTTTTTTCATCATTAGGGCATTGAGAACTTTTCTTCTACTGAATTGGTATTTAACACAATGTCTATAAGACCTCCAGACACCATAGGATCAAAATCAAAATCATTCTAAAAGGAAGCTTACTCAAAAGCATGCTATAAACACAACCATTTTTGCTATGATTGAAAAATACCTCGTGATGTTGTTACGGCTAATAGGAAAGAAATTGAAAGACGGTTGCAATTTCAGCTCCATCCTATCATCAGATGTGTTCTTGTTTCTCAAAAAATTTCTTGCTACTCTTGTCAAAAGATCAGCCCCATTCCACCTCAAGCGGGTATCATCATATGTAGAATAAAACTCTGTCAAGCACTCCATTATGAAGGGACTGCATGGAAATGGTAAAATCTCAGATGTAGAAAATAAAAAGAATGCAAAAAGAAAAATGAATATTCATTGCTATCCAAGTTCTCTGCTGACGAAAGAATAGCAATTGTCCAGATATGTCACCATGAACCCTAGATATTTGAAAAAATCTGGATTTTACCTAAACAATAATTATAGATAGCTGTTCCATGTTTTCTACTGACCACCCCTTCCAAAAAGGCTTTTCACTAGTAAATGCAGTTAACAAGACAGACAGTATATAATATATATACACAGAGATGAAAGGGAAAAGATTTACAGGTATAGTGACAGGAAAGAGCCACAAGCAATAGATATTTAAGGTTTAATAAAATAATATCTTAGACAATTCCAATAAGAGTTGTCATTGACACTTAGTTTCAAATACATAATAATAGACTCAAACATGGAATTTTCTGAGGCTGCTTAGAAACTCCAAAAAAACTGGTAAGCTAAGCATAAATGTAGCAGGTTCCTTAAATATTTGTTTGATTGAACTACTCCTAGAACAGCAGCCCTTTAGTTATAGAAAATGTTATCGTTTTCCAATCAAACAGAACACAAAAATAGCTAGTTTCTGCTTATGACTGATCAACATTATACGGTGTGGGCCAATCCTAGCCCAAATCCTAAAGTTGGCAAAGAGACCTTATATATAAACAAAACACAAAAATATGTATATTTTCATGTAAGAAGCCCCTAGGGGCATGTCCCCAGCAGCTGGGTGGTATTAGGAACCTCACAGAGAGAGGGGGGGGGGGGAACTCCATCTAACTTCTAGAAATAAATAACCTCGGGAAGAGGGGAAGAAAAGACTAAAAAACCATACAAGTTGCTCAGTTAAATTAGAAGAAAACCAAGGCTTAGAATAAATGAAAGTAACAGTGAAAGAGAAAAAGAAAAAAAGAAAATGCAAGAAAAGGCTAATACTGTTTCACTGGTAACTGAGAGAGAACAGAAGCACCTAACAGTTGTAAGGCTTAAAGGAGTACCTGTGCTTTCTAAATGACATCACAGCACCATTCAGGGAACTTCCATCTAGCTCATCCTCCAAACCAACAGTATTATTAAGCGAAGATAATGGTCTCAATACTATAATGTCAGAATCAAGATAGAGTCCACCATATCTGAAGAACACAACAAAAAAACACAAATTTAATTTTAACCAAAATACATCAAGCTGAAATGGATTTCTCTTTGAGATGCAATGCAAAACTAGAGCCATCAGTGTTTTATGTCAATATCAATAAAAACACCAAAGAATAACAATAAGATTTATCAATTGTTCAGTGATTGGAAAATAGAGAACTATAAATTTCCATAATGATAGCATATGCATGCTTTAGTAGAGTCTGCAGGATGTATAACTGCCTTTTGTCATATAATTCTCATTTTTCTAATCAATCTGTTACACCAATGGCTAACACCATGACTGTTCCTTTAAAATGGGGCGAATAAAATGAGGAAAAATACTCAATCAGTAAATGAATTGGGAAAAGGGTGTCTAAGATGTATGAGCTAAAAGTTCAATATACATTAGTCCTGCTCAACCACAAGCCTCCACAACCACTTCCCCAAAAAGTCTTGACTGAAGAATCTAAGGCATCAAATCCCCAACCCGCCCTCTCGGATGGGAGTAAAAACCGTGCAATGGTAATTAAATCCATCACTCAAAACGACCCTACAGGAAGTCCCCTGTAACTTCTCCAACCTCTTAGCAACTGAAGTAGGAATGGCAAATAAAAACATAAAGTACGTGAGTAAACTAGAAAGAGTGCTCTTGATCAGTGTAAGCATACCTCCCTTAGAAAGATACTCTGTTCCACCCAACCAGCCAATTCTTAAATCTCTCAATAATCGAATCCCACATACGCTTTGTAGCACTTGTACGCTTTTAAAACTTTTGGGAAGTGTATTTGAACCCTTTATTTTATTTTGGAAATCTTTAGTGTTGTTGTATCTTGGTTTTGGAGGAGTACAAATTGATTTAAACTTATTGGGATTGTTCGTTCACACTTGTTTACGTTGAAAAATTGTTAGGGAACTTTAAAATCTTGTTCAGGGGTCGACACCAATCTTGGTGGTGTCGACACTTGCCTTTTGTTGTTGGCCTTAAGGGTCGACACCAGTCTAGAAGGGTCGACCCTTGTATGTTGCTGAATCTGGAAGTTTAGTTTGGAAAGGGTAGACACCTTGCCTGTTGCATTCTTTGCTTTTCTGTCTGAAGGGTCAACACCTCTGCCCGAAGGATCGACACCTGCGTGTAATTTTCAGCTTTTTGGGTTAGTTTGAGCCCTACTTTTGGGGGTTTTTGACTTGCCTTTTTATTTGACTTTAGGGCAATTTTCTACTATTATAAATAGACCCAAACCACTTTCCTCTCATTACTTTTTCTCATTTTTTCCTCTTAAACCGTGATTTCTCTCCTCTCTCTCTAAAACTTGACTTTTCGCACCTAGATCTCTAGATCTGCTCACCTAGAGTGATGTTTCGCCATGGTCCTTTAAGAAAGATTGTAGATCTCGTCAAGGACTTCCTTTTGGTCCAAATAGTTCGTTGTTTCGTCGCCGGTGAATTTTAGACTGTCATCTCTTCGCTTCAAGAGGTATGGATTTCTTTACTCCTTTCCAATACCTCATTTATAGATAGATATGTGGTAGATTTTATTGTATAAAAATCATATTCATTATAAATTTTCTTGTAAACCATGAAAGGGAACCTACGGTTTAATATTTGTGATTAGAGTTGTTAAGTTTTTTGTTGTTTGGGTTAATTGGGAAATGATTTAATATGTTTGTGAAGAGAGGGAGGAAAACCCTAATTTAATATTATTGATATAATGGATTTAAAAGGGAGGGAATTGAATAATCTTTATATTTTGCTAATATGAGTTGGATAATTGTGTTTATATCAAAAGAAAATAAAAAGAAAAGTAACCACGGTGTTGGTATTGTTTTAGACTAATCATGTGAAGTTGAGTTAAGTTATGGTTTTGATACCAATGGAATTGGTTTTGTAAAATAAAGAAGATGGATTTGGTTTTGGTTTTGGTTTTGTAAAATGAGGAGAATGAATTTTTAGAAAATGATTAGAGTTGTGTGGATTGTAAAATAAAGAGAAGTGGTCTTTTTGAAAGAAAATGAAATCATCACCCTTCGTAAATTGATAATGAACTTGAGATTGGATTTTAAAACTTTTACGTATTATCATTGTTATAAGGCTGAAAGTCTTGCGAGAATTGAATTTTTGTTTTCTTTTCGTATTGGATGTAGAAATGGATAAATATGAATGCAAACAGTGGAGTTGGATATTTGTCATCTCTCACCTATAAAAATATGGATAGTTTATCTATTTTGGAAATTGTACATATATTTAGAAATATATGTTTGGGATTATCGGTAGAGGATAACCATGATTGTTGTAGAAATTGCATGTAGACTAGGTGAATTGAAATTAATCTTTTGTTAGTTGTCATTGCATATGACTATATTTATATATATTGTATACGTATGATTATTTGGGAGGAGAAAAGGGATATACTCTGATAATACAGTTTTGTCAGATGAGGAATGGGTCGGACAGGGTCCGGATGCTCCACAGGATGATTGAACCTCGTCTTCCCAGTTGTACCTGCACCAAGTCCGTCGAGAAGGACCCCGGAGGTGGGGTTCCTTCTTGAGGACCCTCCGATGTTTAAGTTAGATGAGTCTCTAGTAGAAGAATGGAAGCTTTTAGCTTAGAAAGGAAGTAGAGGGTAGTTAGAGAGAGAGTGATTACTTGTATATATTGATTTCTTCCATACCTTTCTGGCCTCTTCGCTTACTGTGCCCTGTCAGTCGACCTGTCCTATCAGCCGTAAGTCTATGGTAATGTTGTCATGTCGTGGACTTCACAGAAGGAGGTTGCTTGTCTCTTCTTCTTGTCTGGCCCCTGGGCCTAAGTTGGGTTAGGAATTGTTTGGACAGCCCATTGGGCCACTTGTTTGGGCTATGCCCATCATACTTCATGTGTGATTATGTGCTATATACATTATATATGTATGAATGATTGTTTGGGAGGAGAAAGGGGATGAACTCCATTTTAATTAAGTTGGCCAGAGTGTCCTGGGTGAAAGTCGCGAAATTATACATAGATACCTAATCCGCGGACAAAATATCCGTAAAATGACAATGGTAGCGCTTGTATAGCTTACGTTTACATGGATCCCATTTAACGGCTGCCCCCGGACGAAATATTCGTAAAATGAAAGTTTGAAGTATTTATGTATATGTGTTGTATGATTTGAAAACCATTGAGTTGTAGTCTCAATTGGATGTCTAAAATGTAATGAATTGGCTCATTAATTTAGATGAAATAAGTTAACTTGAAACGAATTGTCATGACATGAAGTAAGACTAAAATGGCTTGAGGTGTATCTTTGGCCTGGCATTTTATTATGGAAAGGTGTGTCCTTGGTTTACGGAAAGTAGAGCAGAACTTATTTATCATTATTGTCTCAGTGTATCTATATATATTATGGGTTATGATGGTTATGATTCTGGAAGGCCGAGTTGCCCCATTCGTTGCGTAGATAATTGTTGGTTGCTTGTTGTTTTCCCTTTGTATTGAATGTATATATGTACAGATATGAGTATGTTGGAAACAAACATAAATACTGTATTGAGATTGTGAACAATGTTAAGGACAACAGATACTTGTAAACATGTTTCAAAAAGGCAAATTAGGTGTAAATCTAGAAGGTGGGAGAAAGTGTAATGGACTTTGTGAAATTGTTTTCAAGAATTTGTTACTGTCATATGAGTTGTGATAAAAGGTAACAAGAAGAAAGAAAAGTAAATTGCTTATGTTGTTGAATGAAATGAATGATTTTGAAAAAAGTTCTTATATAAGTATATTTCTATATAAATCATCATATTATGAATATGATATGATTTAAAGCATTCCTGATCATAACAATCTATATGTTGTTATTGTTTAGGATCATATTGGGATCCTTACTGAACTTTATATTCATCCCACGTTGCTAATCCTTTTCAAGTGAACGTCGAGAAGTGTTTCAAGATCGAGAATCGTCTTTATGTGTTGGCCAGGGGGCCTTTTATTTGTAGGCAAAATGCCGTTGATGTAAAACAGTTAAACCCTTTCTTTTAATTTAAAAGATGTAAGCTTATGGACAATTTATTTATTTATTATTTTTTAAACTCATGTTGCATTCACTTTATATTTGAATGAAAGAGCATTTAATAATAGTACTCGTTATTGTATTGAATTTCCGCGCATGATCTCTAAAATTGTGTTACAATAAAAATTTGGTAATGGTATCCGTTGGCATAAAAAGTGGGGGCATGACATGCTTGGCCCTAAAGGATGAGCCCAAAGGTAACCCTAATTATGTAGTAGGCAAGACCTAGGTCACCTATTCTGCCACCCTGGGCTGGTGGATCACAAATCGGTGAGAGGATTGAATAATTCATAACAAATTCTTCTTAAATACGTGAATTTAATTTAATTTTTTTTGGATAAATAAACGAAATTTAATACGTGAATTTAATAATCATATTCGCGAACTCATCTATTAATTGACCAACTATTAATTGTTGTCCATTTAAACAGTGACACACATGCATATTAAGATCAATCCTGGAATTTCACTTCTCAACCGCGAGTCTAATCCCTCATTAACCACCAACACAACATCCAAAATCTGTCAACCACCCAAAAAAGTATTTTGAGCCTTAGATATGAGATAAGGTAACAATTCCTTCAACCGCCACGCTAACACCTAGGAAAAAATATTGCACACCTCTCTCCAAGTAAGCTAATAGGCCTGAAATCCTTAATATTCTCTGCTCCTCCCTTACTAGGAATCTGGGCCACAATGTACGCATCCAAACTTTGCTCAAACCTCCTAGCCTCAAAGAAAATAAGAGAACAAACCCATCACATTCTATTTAACCACTTCCCAACACTGCATGACATGTTTCATAATTGCTTCCCTCAATGTCCCTTATTTCACATCCCTATTCTAGAGCTAATCATTTCCTTCCCCAAGTAATGATGCACTCCTTACATATTAGGCAATGCAAAAAACGCTGTGTTGATATTGAAAAAATCAAAGTCTTAATTACAATATATAGGTGTTAATAAACAATTCAAACTTACTTGTTGAGAGCAGCAAGCCGCACAAGTTCACTGTAGTGAGTAGAATAGAAATTTGTCTTTCTCCATTCAAACCAGACGGAAGCAAATACATGGGTGGGTGTGTCCTTCAACAGTTCATCAAGATTTGGCATGGCAACAGCTACCTTGAAACTGGAAAGGTAAAACCATGTTGTCAATGCAAAGTCAAATTGTTGACATGCTTTGCAGGTAAGAAGAAAAATCAGCACCTCCAGTATTCAAAACACGCATGCAAACACAACCATATGTTGAACATCAACACACTTAAATCAAGTCTCCCTTTTTCATAGTTAAAGCAAATAAATATATCACCCAAACCAGTTAATTGAAAGCTACAAAAAAATTTGAATGAATCGAATTACACACAAGTCATAATGAATAGTTGGAGGAATTACCCATCCTTCACAAATCCTTCGAAGAAATTAAGCTCAATTGTCTCAGAAAACACCACCACACAGGCGCCCTGGTGATAGGAGAGAAGACTTTCTAGGCCTCGTTGGAGCCTAACGCTGATCATCCATGGCGGTGAGTTCCACACCATAAAAACCCTCATGGAACACTTCCCTTTCCTGAAGAATGCTTCCATGAAGTTTGAAAAAGATAACCGAGGATGCAGACCAGGAAAGTAACCCCATCTTTTGCCATTAGCATATACTTCACCAGACACCTCGGATTTAATCCCAGTATTACCTTGCACATTTTTAAAGCCACCTGATTGAACTGAATTACTAGTAGACGAATCAACCACCATGTCAATACTTTCTGCAGTTTTCTGTTGAATTCCCTCACTCCTATTACTCAAGGATAAATTAACAGTAGTAGTTTTACTCAAAATTTTACTAGAATCGCCAATTCCCAAATAGGAAAGATTTCTAGCATTGTCATCTAAAGTTCGTCTCTCCACCCTCTTCATTCCACCCCTTTCTTCCTCAACACTACCACTAATACTCTTCTTGATCATATCCTCTCCACCATTTGCTACCACTTCCGATTTCAATTTCAAATCGTGGGCCGAACCTTCTTTGATTGCTAATGGTTTTTTGAAAAGAAATGGCACTTTCTTGAATTCATTCAACAAACCCTTCTGCACGAGCTTGTCACCTCTCGTGAGCCCAGTCACTCCAACCCCATCAGGGTCTTGCAAAAGCGGATTGTTTAGAGGATTCAAAATTTCCAAATTGGACTTGAACATCCTATCCCTCCTCAAGAAATCACTCTTGGCATCAAACCAAGGCCCCCAACCTTCCCTCAAAGGCGAAACCCTAGACCCAGTCTTCAACAAAAGCGCATCCTCAATCCCCTCCACCTCAACCACCTTCCTCCTCACATTTTCATCCACAGGCACATCGTCCGAACCAATCGCAACCTTACTCGGATCCTCAGACCCCACATTCGCATCGAAGCTCTCGTAATCCTCCCACTCATCAATCGAACGCTTATCAAAAGCTCTTCGAATAACGCCTTTGACGTGATCAAAGTAGTAGCCAGAAACCCTAGGCTGATCGGCTTCTTCGTCCTCAGAATCGATGGCACCGAGAATCTCTTCCTCGTCGGAAGCCCTAGACTTATCGGAGAAGTCGTCCTGGACGTCGTCGATCTCGTCGATGCGATCCTCGGAGACCTTGGTGGTGGAATAGGAGAGATCGGGATCGGTGTCGTCGAGCAAGGGATCAGAAACGATCTCGTTGGAAGAGTGGAGACGAGAGTGGGGAAGAGAGTCTCGATCGGATCCGAGGCGGCTGTGGAGGAGAGAGACGGAGAGGAGGAGGAGGAGGGCGGCGATCAGGGCACAGACGTGGGGGCCGTAGCGGGGTCGCCGCCGTGCGCGGAGGTTCCGAAGCATCTTGTGGTGCCAAGTGTAGAGAGAGAATGTAGAGAGAGAGAGAGAGAGTGTGGCTTTGACTGTTTGACGATATTCCGGTCAGGGAAGGTGGTTGACGGCGTGGAGGTGTTTTCCCAAATGCAGAAAAGGAGTTGTACCTTTTGCTCAAATGAGTGGTACCTTTGCTTGGTGGTGAAATATTGTACTCGTACCTTGTCTATCAATGCTCATAAAAATGCTATATTTCCCATTAATTAAATGAAAAAATGAAGTAAAAAAAATAGTGAACAGTCCTACACAAGGTTGGGTTTTTAAAATTTTTTTTTCCTTTTAAGAAAGGGCGTAGCTTCTGTCCAGTTTGAGATCGGACTAGATCGTCCTATTGAGTCCGTAAAAGCCTACTACAGGTTCCGTTTTGATAATCTGAATTGTATAATGTGTAGAATTCGTCGAGTACTATATGCCTGTAAAAAATTACGTTGATCGGATATCGATAGCTATATGATCAAATCAATTTCGTATTAAAAAAATTGAACAGTGAACAAATTAACGGTTGACAAAAAACTGTTTTGATCACATAACTATCGATATCCAATCAACGTGATTTTTTACAAGCATATAGTACTCGACGAGTTTTACACATTGAACGGTTCAGATTATCAAAACGAGATCCGTGGTAGGCCCCCACGGGTCCAACAACACGATCCAATTCGATTCCAGACTGGTCAAAAGCCATACCCTTTAAAAAAATCTTTAAAATATGATGCCTATGATTTTTCTTTTTCGTGTTTTTTTATTTTTATTATTTTTTTAATATTTTAAGTAATTTTTTTAATTTTTAAACATACCTAATATAAATACATTTAAAAAATATAATTTTTATGAAAAAAAATCTTTAAAAGATTCACTAAATAGCAAAAATACAAAATTTTAATATATTTTTTATATTTTTATATATTTATTAATTTTTTTTAATATTTTTTCATAAATATTTTACTTTTTAAATACATTTAAGTAAGGTGAATCTAAAAAAATAAAATGACATAAAATTTCACACTTAGTCTAAACGTTTGACATTTCACAATGGGAAATGTTTGAGAACTCGAAAATGTTTCCCCCTAATCCCCCGAGATTTAGAAACGACGTCGTTTCTAACACTTTCTTTATCAGACTTCTTTATCAGACTCCAAAACACATCTCTGGCTACGCGCTACTCAGTCTCTCCTCAGCTTCAAGCATCCTCTCTCCAATCGACTCCATTGGAGCCCTTAATCCTCTCATCTTTCTCTACTCACTCTCTCTTCGAGCCCTTAATCACTTCCAAATCCTCTCATCAGCTACGGGTGTGAACTCGCATAACAGATCTACTCATCAGCTACGGGTGTGGACTCGCAGATCTGTGGACTCGCAGATCTTCTCTTCAACTACGGGTGTAGACTCGCAGATCTTCTCTTCAGCTACGGGTGTGGACTCCCAGATCTTCTCTTCAACTAGAGTTTGTGTTTATATGCTATGTTGATTTCTGATTCTTATGATTGTTATGTAATTAATTTTAGGGTTTTCTTCTCTTCAATTAATTTTAGGGTTTTGGTTTTGTGTTGAATTCGTAGATGTTATGTTGATTTCTGATTGTTAAGATTGTTATGTAATGCCCAATTTATGATATTATTGGGGTTTGGGTGTAAATAATTGTTGTTGATAAGTCCTACACAGTGTGATATTTATTAGGGTTTTGGTTTTATTGCCCAATTTCTGATTGTTATGGTGTAAATATTCTGTTTATATATATTCTGTTTAAATGCATTTTGTGATATGTGGTATGGAATGTATTAAACAGAATGTATATAGGTTTGAAAGGAAACCGAAAAGAGTAAAACAGGTTCAATAATGTATAAGAATGTATGAAATAGCATGAATTCCATCTACTTAATTTTGATATTTGGTATGAAATAGCAACAATCCCCCAAACCCAATTTTGTAACTATTTTCATTCTGTTAAGACTCAGATTCAGATTTGAACATGTTCTGAGTTAAACATTTGATTCATTTTTTATATCAAATGATTAGCTATTACTTCTATCTATTTACAAATTATATTGGTCTATATGCATATTTGATTTGTGGGTTTGTATTTTTTTTTTTTTTTTAGAGCAATTCAAACATGGGTTTTACTATATCATTAAGTGTTTCATGAGATGATCTGGATTTGGTTTAGGAATAATAATTGCTACCACAAGAAATTTTAAATGGGTCTTCAAAGAGGAGATTAACTGGATTGGCATGTGAATCTGGGTTTGATTATTGGTTATCTCTGGTGTGAAGTTTCAAGACTCATTGGAGTTTTCTTCCAAATTCTAATATTGGGATGGGTTGTCGGTGCTCTAAACTCAGTGCATGTTGTTGGGTTTCGGAACCAAACAGGCCAATTCATGAGGGAACGAAAGTTGATTTTGAGGTTTGGACATAGCAGTGCCTTTGGAAATGTTTGTTTTAGACACTGCAATTTTCTTTGGATTGAATTCAATTCATATGGGTTTTGCATTCAATTCATATGAAGATTGGAAAACTAAATATAAATTTTGGACATAGCTTTGTATGTATCATGTCTGTGTTTTCCATTCTGTATGCAGATTACAAAATGGCTTGTTCCTCTAGTAACAATAGCAACATAAGATTGAAACGAAGATTGTGCGATTGTGGGATAACAGCTGCCAGGCACACTGTCAAGTCAAATCAGAATGGAAATAAAGGCCGTGTGTACTTTGTGTGTCCATCGAAATATGTAAGCAGTATGGAAATTTGTTTGGAAATTTATTAGCCTCATTTGATTAACTGATTGTCATGCATTGTAGGTTAGTGAGGAACACTGCAATTACTTCAAGTTTGCAGATGATAATGATGACGACGAGATCTTCAATGCTACACCTCGTACATCTATAAGAAGCGAAGAATTTAACGATTGAAGCACAAGGGTTTATGAAATGGATAATGAATTTGAAGAGCATGGTAGAAGGCTTCGAAGGGTGGAGATGAAATTGAATGTGATGCTTTATGTCATTGTATTTTGTATTATTTTCTATTTTATAATGTAAATTACTAAGTTGATAGCTTTTAGGGAATTTGATGGATGTAGTTATGGACTTAATGGACTTGATACTTTACCTCATTGGCTTTGGATCTTGATTTTGTATCTCACTTTTGCCTTTGGATCTTGGTTGATGTTATATAATCATTCGGTTGGATGTAATATGTGTGTGTTTAATCCGTGTGTGTGTTTAATCTGTACGAGGTTGGGATGATTCACCTTAGGTGTGTTTAATCTGTGTGTGTGTTGGATGACATTTGGTGACAGGTTGGGATGTAATATGTGTGTGTGTTTAATCTGTTCACCAGGTTGGGATGTAGAAAGAAGAACTTTTAACTGTCTGCTTGGTTTGTGAATGGCAAATTTGTTCACCAGGTTGGTTTGTGAATGGCAAATTTGTTCACAAATTTGAAGCTGGTTGATGCAATTGAACATTCAAAAACTCAAGTGTAAGAATGTTTGTCTATGCTGATCAGAGATAGATGCACACATTAGAAGCATGACCAAAAGTTGAGAGGAATTATGAAGAAGAGGTCTCAATGACAAATTCCATCTGAAAAAGAGAAGGGCAAGTTAATTTATTTTAAACTTAAATGTTGGTTTTGCTCAAAATTATGGTTATCAAAATAAATGTGTTGAGAAACCTGCTAAGTTTGACTGTGTGGACATAAACAAGAAAGGAAAAATACACCTTACTTGATGTGAACCAGTATAAGAACAACTATCAGTTTCCGTGTCACCAACTGACCCCTTGAAGAGCTCCAAAATCAATTTAGGCAAACCAACAAATTACAATTCACATTCTGGATAGAATTCATATTTGTCATTCACAAACCAACAAATTTGAATTCATATTCATTCTAAACTGCACACAGAATTTTGTGACACAACACAGAATGTCCAAACACAGAATTTGTCACATTCATTCTGCTCCTTTCAAAACAAGTTCACAGAAAAAAAAATACAGATCTTCCAGAATCTGTTAAAACCTGTCCAAAAATTCAGAATCTGTTTCGTACATGTCCAAAAATACAGATCATACAGATCTGTTAAAACCTGTTAACATTCATTCCAGAATCTGTCCAAAAATTCACATTCAAATCTGTAAAAACCTGTTAACAGAATCTGTTTGAACATACAGATCTTCACAGAATCTGTTTGAACATACTGATCTTGACATAATCTGTTTAAATATAAATACATTCTACAGAACCTGTTTGAACAGAATCTCCTGTTCAGAATCAAATATAACCTGCTAAAAACATACAGAACCTGTTTCAATATAACTTCTTCAAAATATAATCTGTTCAGCATGTGTTAAGAAAAACCAGTTCAAAAAATAAAATATCTGTTCAGCATGTGTTACAAATTCCATACTACGAAACTAAAAAAAAAAATTGAGCATTTGGATCCACATCTATATTGAAGTCGACAAAAGTTGAACCATCTATATTCGTCATTCCTGATTCACTCACAGATGAGCTTCCAACTTTGTCCACCATTTGCAATGCGCTCTCTTGTGTCTCGTCCATACAAGGAAAATAGTAGGATTGAGCTTCCGGCACCTTATGATACATAATAACAAAATATCATTAATAAGTTCAAACATTTAAATAAATACCATACAAAACCAATTGAGTGGACCATGAAACACATACCTGATCGTACATATTATTTTTCATTCCATCCGTACAACCGAAATTCAACTTACGAGGTTCACATTGACCCATCTTACAACCCTATAGTAACACACATTGGTGACAAAGTTAGACAAAAAGAAATTCAGAAATTTACATATAAGCAAAAAATTAAAAAATATACCTGCACTTTTGTTGCCTTTTTATTCTTTCCCTTTAACCGATTCACTATTTCGTCCACCTTGCTCACCTTCCGTTTCGTACATGGACGGCCTCTTCGGCGAGCAACCAAAGGACTAAGCACCTTGCGAGTAGTACTACAAGGTAGCACATTACTGCTACAAGGTGGAACAATACTACTAGAAGGTGGCACATTACTCGCACAACGAGATTCATCTTTTCTTACTCTTTCCTTGATTTCTCTCAACCCAAGTTGAATGGCTTTGTGTTCACCATCATCGTTGGAAGCAATTTCTATAATTTCATCCAATGTCTTGTGGTAGTTCTCATGTACCTTTGCATTGAGGGCAGCCCCGGATTTCGTGTATGTTGTTGGAATACATGTGTACCCTCTTTCCAAATCTTTTTCCATCTCGACATAATGTACTTATTAGGAACCTCATATATGCTCCTCTCAATGAGCACACTAAGGGAATGGGCACACATGATCCCCCTAAACTCAAACCACCGACACACACATTGCATTTCAAATTCAGTTGAATTAAAGTAAACAAGAAATTCAACTTTCTTAATTTTCTCACCCACAAGCACAGCTTCCTTGACATGATTGGTACAAATGGATCCCTCCTCCTTCACAAGATTCGCATGACAATACAGTAGTCGCTTCAATTCTACCTGAACTTCTTTAAATTTCGCATTTGTGTAGGCTGCACGAAATTGCTTCTCAAACTCATACACCGTTAAACAATCATACAATCTATCTCGAGATTTGAAGTCTGCTTTGGTCTCCTTCTCCACCTTACTTCTCAATGCATTGTCGTACTGTTCAACAAATTGCTTTAAAGTAGTCTTTGAGTTGACATAGCCATCAAAAAACGCATTCATGCTCTCACTTCGCTGTGTAGTTGACATGCCAGCCCAAAATATATCTTTCACATAGGCAGGAATCCACCTATGTCGCTCAACATATAATACTCCCAACCACTCGTTGTCATGGAGGCTAAACTTTTCAATCATCGTTTGCCATTCCCATCAAATTCATCTTTTCTGAAAGAATCATAGACTGCACTTTGTAAAGCGAATTTGATGGCTTCATATTGGGAATATCCTCTCAATTTCTCGGGAATTTTCTTCATTACATGCCATAAACACCAACGATGTCAAGCCTCTGGGAAGACAATCTGTATGGCATTTTGCATGGCTCTGCACTGGTCAGTTATAATAGCATTTGGAGGAGTGGCTGACATACAATTCAACCATTCTTTGAATAGCCAAACAAAAGTGTCCGTGTTCTCATTAGATAATAGCCCACAACCAAACAAGATTGACTATCCATGGTGATTAACTCCTACAAACGGAGCAAACGACATATCATACTTGTTTGTAAGATAGGTCGTGTCAAATGAGACAACATCCCCAAATGCTTTATAAGCCGCCCTACTCCTTGCATCCACCCAAAACAAGTTTCGGATGCGACCATCTACATCAAAGTCAATTGCAGAGTAGAAGTTTGAATTTTCTTGTTGCATCCTATGAAAATAAAATGCAACTGATTCGGCGTCTCCTACCCCAAGCCTCAATCTTCTAGCATTTTCAATGTGGTTCCTTACATCTCGTTCATCAAATGTTAATGCCTCATATCCCCCCGCTTCAACAACTATAGAATGAAAATTCCTAGATACCCCTATTCCTGCTTCATCATTTATTTCTAATCTTCTCTTCACAGGAGTACGAATCCTCTTATTCATTGGAAAATGGCGTGAGTCGCTAGGAATTAAATCATGCGTATGGTCAAGCACAACTGTAGTTAACTTATATCTTCCATCCGGTTGTAAAATCGCTCTTATCCTAGCTTTACAATCAATTTTTTATAACAAAGATGGTTTCAGGGGGTTTACTTCTGATCTTTTTGTCCTCTTCTGCGCCCGAGTACATTCAATTCCAAAGTATTTCACTTTTCCATCCGATCTAACATTTTGTGTTCTGTAAGCTATAGCAAATCCAAGGTTTTTAGCATATTTTGCATAAAACTCGTGAACTTCTTGCTTTGAGGTAAACCACATCCCCTTCTTAGGTTCTTCAATTTCGTCACTCTCATTTAATGAAGGATTGTTCTCTGTTTCCTCAACTTCCTCACCCCCACTCAATGTAGGATGGTTTAAATCAATGTCCATTGTACCTTCAAACTCAAATGCTGTCACGACCCAAACCCGGCCCTATGGGTTTAGCACCGTAACCGGCCAGTAATCCGAGATTACCGAAGGCCTGCTTAACAGTAATACAGTAAAACAGAGTACAGGGCCTGGCGGAAGCCAATACAGTAAATAAATAATGTCCATTGAGCTGTGACAGTCTGTATGCCAAAAAGATTTTTCATGCATTAATACATAAACAGTACAGAACAGTATGTACAATATTGACATCCATTCAAACTAGGGACTCAACCCTACATAACAGTACAGAAAAAGTTCCGTCTGTACAAAACAGTACGGTCTATACAAAATTTACAGTCACACAGTACAGGGACCTAATCCCTTGATAACAGTACAGTTAGCAGTTAACAGTCTATACAGTAATCCAAACAGTATGGAGACAGACGGGGGAAAACAAACAAAACACCCCAAAGCCATAGCATGGCAACTCGGAACCTCGCAGTGAGGCACAAAGGCTGGCTTGACAAAACTGGAGTCTAACCCACGCTCCTAGCTCCGATCTGGCGGATCTGGTGCCTGTACACCTACATAATATATGAGCAGTGAGCTAAAGCCCAGTGAAAACATAATGCGTAAAGAGGTTTAGAATGAATGTCCTTACGGTAATGAAAACAGTTCAATTCAATCAGTATTTCAGTTGTTCAGTACAGTAAACAGTCATATGTGGTACATCCATTAGCATAACAGTAACAGTAGGTCTTAAAAGACCGAACAGTAATGATGGCCATCAGTCAGTAAAACGTAGTGGCTCCACGAGGGACCGACAGAGATCTCTCTGTAACAGTAACAGTAACAGTAACAGTAGACAGTAGGTACTAAGGATGCCACAGTACAGTTCAGAAATAAAGGACATACATTCATTCAGTAATACCAGTTCAGTAAAACAGTTCAGTTCAGTATTCAAAAGATATCAGTTGAACATATCTTACACAATTGTTACCACAGAGTTCTGGGCTACAGTATGCTAGAGCGTGTCTCCCCAGTTGCCAACCCTACACAGTTCACAGGTTGAACACACACTAAGCTACACAGTTGGGAAATATCATAACTTAATCCCTAATTTGCCTTGGTGTGTTCTACAACGATATCCTCATCAAGATGCCTTAAACTAGGCCTAAGAATGCCTAGGATGGGATGAGGATGCAAAAATACACTTAGAAAACATTTTGCAAAGTTGCTGAAAATAGGAACCTCGCTCGAGCGAGACTTTCTCCGCTCGAGCGTAAGTCCAAAATCAAAGGCTTCGCTCGAGCGAGAAATCCTTAGCTCGAGCGGTCTGCAAAACAGTAAAAAATACTGGATGTTGCGATTTTACGCGCGAGGTCGCTCGATGGTCGCTCGAACGGATCCTGGACAAAGGTGCTCGCTCGAGCGGGGAATCCTTTGCTCGAGCGAGGAAGCCAAATTCTGGAATTTCCAGATCTGCCTCCCAAGCTCAAACCAAGATTCTCCACTCCAAACCCGACTCTTGGGCCCAAATTCTGGAAAACATACCTAAATTCAATGTATAACAAGTTTCAAAGCTCAATTTATGAATTCAAGCCCCAAAGGTGAGTCAATTAAAACCATATTCAAACCCATTTCAAGAATATGAAGAACATGCAACATGCATGAATTCAAATCAATTCAAAGCTTCAATTTGATGCTCTAAGGAGCCAAATCTTTCAAAACATGATGAGTTCATGGTCTTTTGTAAAAATATGAGCATGCATGTAACATTTTTGCCATGAAAACAACTCAAAACTCAACCAAGAACACATGCAAGCATGGAATGAGCTTCAATTCAACATGTATGCACCAAAACATGGCTTAACTCTACAATTAAAGCATGAATTGTGCAAGAATGGATTCTAAGACAACAACAAGAAGATGAATGTCCTACCTTAGTTTGTGT